AAGGATCAATAGTGTGAGACCAAAATGTAGGAGAAACATTGCGTTACAGACTGAGGACTGAGTACGGAAATTAGTCCGGGGACACAAACTCAGTGGTGTAACTGTGACAGTAAAAATCGATAAAATATAATCGATATAGACCTAATTGAAAAAACATTGTCCGACTTAATATATTGAAACGAGAGTCGGTTCACACTATTATATAAACAGAAGAAGAAAAAGTGCATTTTGTATGCGTGAAAACAGAAGCAGAATGAAAACTWTTCATTTTCTTTTTTGTCTAACATAAACAAAGGTGAAATTAAATTTGGTATAGGGCAAAATGCTAGTCCGGCGATTGACYGATGATTAGGGACCGTTTATTTTTTATCAAGGAGTGTGRGTCGGTGGAATTTAGGGGGGGMTGGGGGGTCAGAGAAATAAAACAGTCCCTGTGAGRGGGCCATAAAAAAAGGGAGGGTCAGGAAAAAATACTCTAGAAAATATAAAAAATTGTGGTTTAATCTATATATCAGCTCAGTATATACATTCAGGCTGTTTTTTTTTGTCCATTCAACTATAAGTACATATCATACTAGCAATATACGTCTTTTTTCCATCAAAAACGTTCCAAAAACTCGGGGTGCGGCTTATCTACGGGAGCGGCTTATACATGAGTAAATACGGTACCTTAATTAGAAAGACGAGAACCGAATTAACCGAACTATATAATGAAATGGGTCGATTCAGGTTCATCTTTTACGTTGCATTTTTGTTTAAAAATGTTAGAAATAGACTGTTATTAAAACTTCGCCGTCAGTATTTCAATTATGTTATTAAGAAATGATTCTAAAAATCTTATTACAATCTATCCGATGAGTTTCAAGAAAATTAACTTTGAAGAAAAATGAAGGTGTTTTTTTGCATTTTTTATCCAAGTGGCTTCGCTTTTTTGAAAATTAATTGATATCAACAAGAATTATCGATAATCAATGTTACTCCTTTGAAAATTTGAGTGCAATCGAATCGAAATTKGCGATAGTTACGACGTTGTTGGAGTTTAAAAATACGCGCGAAGCGCAATTTTTTATGATCGAAACACCTTCAATTCAAGAATTGAAAGAACTACAGAGTGAAGAGGAAGTAGATGAAGATATGGTGGTTGCCATATAATAGGGCAAGATGAAAAGCCACAGATGAACCTATGAACCCATGAACCCATCTCGGTCTGCGAGATTCATGAGTTTTATTTTTTAAAGAATTAGCCATTTACGACGGCAATTTATTTTTGATTTTAAGGTGTTTTTGAGTCTGCGATTTTAAAATTTAAAATATACAATATATGGATCGAGTTGAAGAGAATGTTCATCAAACTACTACAGGTTCACATTTCCCCGAATTTGTTAACATCATAATCTGTGACATATACAGTTTTTTGTTTGTATGCTTGTTGTTGCTGTTGTTGTTTTTTTTTGCGCGTGTGTGTTTACTAAAATAAAGCTTGATTAAAAATTATGATTTTAATTTTGACCCTTCATCGATAAATATGATTAATTCGAGACACATTCAAGAAGAAGCTATAATTTTGACTTTTCTGTCTTTTCTTTTTTTAATATTCCCGATATCAGCTGCTAAATGAGCTAAGGTTGGCATGTCATCAGTGTTATTATTAAGTGCTATTCGTTTCATAGTCACGTACCAGAAAAAAAAAMCC